TGAGTACTCTATATATTTTGTAAATTAACCTCTTATCTGATGTATCATTGGCACAAATGCTCTCCCATACAGTGGGTTCCTTTTCCATTTTGATGCTTGTTTGTTTTGCTATACAGAAGCATTCTCAATGTAGTCCCATTTATTAATTTTTTTCCTTTGTTTCTCTTGCCCTGGGCATTGTATCAGTGAAAATTCTGCTGTGTGATGTCTGAAATTTTGCTGCCTACATTTTCTTCTAGGATTTTTATGGATTCATGGGTCACATTTAAGTCTTTTATCCATTTTGAGTTTATTCCTGTGTCTGATGTAAGTTGGTGGTCTAGTTTCATTTTTTTGCATGTAGCTGTCCAGTTTTCCTAACAATATTTATTAAAGAGGTTGTCTTTACTCTATTGTATGCTCTTGCCACCTTTGTCAAATACTAATTGAGCATAATAGCTTGGGTCAATTTCTGGTTTCTCTGTTCTGTTCTATTGATCTATATGCCTGTTCTTGTGCTAATACCAGGATGTTTTGATCACAGTGGCTTTGTAGTACAACTTGATATCCAGTATTGTGATCCCTCCTACTTTGTTCTTCTTTTTCAAGTTTGCTGTGGCTATTCGGGGTCTTTTTTGGTTCCATATAAACTTTTGGATATATTTATGTTTCTTTGTTTTTGTTTTTTCAGCAATGTATTTTTTCTTTTTAGTGGAATTTATTGGGGTAACACTGGTTCACAACACTATGCAGGTTTCAAGTGTACAATTCAACAAAACATCATTTGTACACTGTATGATGTGTCCATTGTCCAAAGTAGAGTCTCTTTCCATCCCCATTTCCCATGCCTTTGCCCACTTCCACCCACCCCCATCCTCTTTCCCTCTGACAGCTGTCAGTTTGTTCCATGTATCTGTGCCTCTTTCTCTCTCTTTTTTTTTGTCAGTTTATTTTGTTCATCAATTTATTTTCTTCATTAGATTCCACAAATAAGTGAGATCATATGGTACTTGTCTTTCTCTGACTGGCTTATTTCACTATTCGAGTCTCAAGTTCAATCCATGCTGTCACAAAGGATAAAAGTTCCTTCTTTTTTACAGCTGCATAGTATTCCATTGCATAATTGTACCACAGCTTTTTTGTCCACTCATCTACTGATGGGCACTTGGGCTGTTTCTAGATCTTGGCTCTTGTAAATAATGCTGCTGTGAACATAGGGGTATATATTTTTTTCTGATTGGTGTTTCAGGCTTCTTTGGATATATTCCCAGATGTGGAATCGCTGGATCAAAAGGCAGTTCCATTTTTAAGTTTTGGAGGAAACTCGGTACTATTTTTCACAGTGCCTGCACAAGTGTGCATTCCCACCAACAGTTCATGAGGTTCCCTTTTCTCTATATCCTTGTCAGTATTTGTTGTTGTTTTTTATTTACTGATGATAGCCATTCTAACATCCGCTGTCACTGACCTTAACTTTTCTTTCCTTTTTACTTCTGGCATTGTCTTTTACATTTTCCTCTAATAATATTTCTAGTTGTAGTTCACAGTTCTTCTGGCTCTCAACTGATTAAGTTTATAGTACACATCAGTTTTTTACCTGGACCTCAAATCCATCAAGAGTGCATTTCCGTTCCATTTGAACACTGTGACTCCCCCAGTGCTCTTCTGCAGCTTCCCTCCACTGATGATGTGAGCCGTTGGTGGTCAGCACCACAGTCAGCTCCTGCCTTGTTTTGGCAGAGAAGCTTCTCCATCTCCTGCTTCCAGTGACACAGTTTATTTGATATCCGTCTTGGCCTTGTGGTGATATTTACGTGTGCAGTCATCTGTTCAGTAGTGTGAAGTATATGTTACATGACTGATTAGTTGTTGACTTTGCAGAATCCATAAGCTGGTCTCTTGTCTCATTTTGATGTTATTTTTATTTTTGTGTTCTAATCACCTGTAATTATTAGCATGTCTCGTTTTGATGTATCATCAGTTTCTTCTTTGACACTTGCATAAAAGCTTTCAGATCCATCTTCTTCAGCCTCTGCAGTGGGAACATAGACTTACTCGGTGGTTATGTTAATAGGTTTTCCCGGAAGTCTGATGTATAACTTAGTCAGAACTTGCATTGCAGTTCCTGACTGCTATGCTACATCTTGGCATTTCATGTCTTCAGACGTATTTTTGCCTTTCTTTAAATTCACCTATGTATTTTTCTTTTTTGTTTCAATTGAAAGGCCTGAAAGAAGTTAGGCCTTATTCATCAATTTCTTATGGATATTTTGAATTATTCTCACTAAAACTTTTAATCAAGTACTTTTTAAAATTTATTTATGCTTTAGAAGATAATAGTTCTATTGACAGTTGTAGGAGAGTTAAATATATTTTTTATTTAATTTGTTATAAATAAATTTAGTACCCATTTTCTTCAAATGACTTTTCATTTTTAAATTCCAGGTGCATTTTGACCAGTGTGTCATTCTAAGTAATGTAATGTTGAGCAGAAATAATCAAGGCTTCTACCCCTATCTATGAAGCTTACATGTTAGTACAAATGGTGGCGAGTATTTTTGGTTTATTCTTTCTTTCATGTTTGGCTTATAATAGATTTCAGATTTTTTTAAATGTGCACTCTTTTTTGGGTATGTATTTTGAGTTTAAGAGTACAGTATGTAAAGAGAAAATAGGAGGGAAAATCTTTGGGGTAGTCCTGATAAACTATTTGCACTGTTGGTGAGAGTGTAAACTGGTGCAGCCACTATGGAAACATCATGGAGGTTTCTCAAAAAATTAAAAATAGAACTTCCTAGTGATTCCAAAATTCCACTTTGGGGGGATTCATCCAAAGGAAATGAAAACACTCAGATATCTGTACCGGTATGTTCATTGCAGCATTACTGATAATAACCAAGATATGGAAATAACCTAACTGTCCATCAATGGAAAAAGAAAAAATCCTGCTATTTGGAATAACGTGGATGAACCTTGAGGACATTATGCTAAGTGAAATAAGTCAGACAGAGAAAGACAAATACTTTAAGATCTCACTTTTATGTGGAATCTAAAAAAGACAAAATGGACTCATAGATACAGTGGACACTTTGGTGTTGGGGTGTTAGGCAGGGGGCAAAATGGGTGAAAGTGGTTAAGAGATACAGACTTCCAGTTATAAAATAAAGAAGTCATAAGGATGTAATGTATAGAATGAGACTATTGCTAATAACACTTTATTGTATATTTGAAAGTTACTGAGAGAGTAGATCTTAAAAGTTCTCATCACAAGAAAAATATTTATAACTGTGTGGTAATGGTCGTTAACTAGACTTATTGTGGTGATCATTTCATAATATATACATTTATCAAATTTTTGTTATATTTCTGAAACTTAATATAGTGTTATAGGTCAATTATATCTCAATTAAAAGGAAAAAACAAACAAACCCATGGGATACCACACCCAGTAGGATGTCTGTAATTAAGGAGACAGACTACAATAAGTGTTGGGTAGGGTTTGGAGCAACAGGAGTCCTTGTTAACTGCTGGTGAGAATGTGAAATGGTGCAGCCACATTGAAAAACAGTATGGCGGTTCCTCAAAATGTCAAACATAGTGTTACCAAATGACCCTACTCCTAGGCACATATCCAAGAGAAATTAAAATATGGTATATGAAAGTCACAAAAGGACACTTAGTATGTGATCTGTTCATATTAAATGTCAGAATAGGTAAGTGCATAGAGACAGAAAGCAGATAAGTGGCTGTTGGGGTGGGAAAGGGAAGATGAGACGTGATTGCTGCTAGGTACAGAGTGTCTTTTGGGGATGATGAAATCTTCTGCAATAGACGGTAGTGATGACTACATAAAGCTGTGAATACACTAAAAACCACCGAGTCGTAAACTATAAAAGGGTGAATTTTATGGTATGTAATTCACAAATTATTTTTTTAAAGAATAAAATCGCTCCAAATTGTGTTTTCTTGGCTTTGAAAATTCGTGGGTGAAACACGGTTTTTCTGTTTTATCTCATGGCTACCCGGTGACAGGCCTACATGACATGAGTCTCGTGGTCTAGTGGTCTGAGCTGGGGCTCTGGTTAACCATTTGCTTATGTTCCCTAAATGGCCTGTGCACAGACAGGCTGCAGCTTCTGCTTAGGGGACACTCAGGACTGGGCAGTAAAGAAGGCCAGTACCCTCTCTTACCCAGAGAGGGCGTGTCCAGTTGAGCGCTGAGGTCATTCACCAGGCAGCAGGGAAGACTGTCTGCTCATGCCTGGCTGCATTTGGCCAGTAAATAAACCAGCGACAAAGATTTTCAGCCTTATTATTTCAGGCAATTTGCATATTAGGTAAATTTGTTTATTGTGCTTATAAATAATTTAAGAAAAAGGCAGACATTATATTTACTTTTAAAGAATATGTTAACACTTTAAAATATTGAATTATCCCTTCACACCCTCTGGTTATAAATCCTTCAATTCAATATACATGGACAACTTGTAGTATTCAGTATAGCTCATAAGTAAAAGATTATTTATATATGTAATATACTAAAAAGTCACTGTTATATTTAATTTAAAATAGAAAATAAAACAATCATTTTCAATCAACTTTTCTAAAGCACATGTTCTCAAACTTCTCTGTGCATAAAATCACCTGGGACTCATTACAAATGTGCATTTCTCAGTCCCTCACCCCCAAGGGACAGGTGCAGTCTTGATTTTCCAGGACCCCTGCAGATGCTGTTGAGGAGCTGGGATCTGCACTTTGAGAAACACTGCTCTGGGGGCTTCAGCCTAGACTTAGGACATGATAGGTGTGGTTATACTGTTCTTCATTTTGCCATTGACATTTATTTCCTAAGGCATTTTCCATCCATTTGGTGTTAGAAATGGATGATATCCACACTTTCATTCTATTAGAAAATATTTTCTCACAAGTATAACTTTTCTAAGTGTGAAATTGTAAAAAGTCTTTCTTACCCCGTCAGTTGCCGTTTCCCTTAATGTAGCACTGCCTTCTGCTGTCTCCAGATCTCGTTTGACCTGGCTGAATATACTGCGGATGTCGATGGAGTTGGCACTCTACGGCTCCTGGATGCGGTTAAGACCTGTGGCCTTATCAACTCTGTGAAGTTCTATCAAGCCTCAACAAGTGAACTTTATGGGAAAGTGCAAGAAATACCCCAGAAGGAGACCACTCCCTTTTATCCTCGGTCACCATACGGTGAGAACGCCTGCGCACCCCCTGTGCATGTGCCCTGCTCTCTGTGGGTGCTGGTGTGTGTGTTTCTGCTTAATTCCGTTCATGTCTCATGGCTGAAGTCATTTGGGTGTGAGATTAACACTGAGATAGACTAAAGTGACTAGACTTGTTGAGAAGCATGCCTTTATACATTGCTAACTGCAGTATTTGCTGCCATTGCCTCCAGCGTGAAATTACCACCTCACCTCACCTATTCATGTTCATTCAACCCTTTCACACAGATCACTTTGAAAGGAAAAGGAGACCAAACGTGATTCTTTTTTCTGACCTGTTTTGCTGAAGTGATAAGGTTTCATGTTTTTTTTTTCCTGAAGAAAGTCTCCCTGAGTTCAAACCCTTAGAAAAGCAAAAACAAAGAACGAAACAAAAAGACTTGTGATAAAATTCTAAGTAGCTAGAATATTAAGATCCCATATTTTTCACTTTCTAATTTCTTAGTACTAAGAGACAGGAAATAAAATATAAGACAGTCCACTTGATATATGAAACACACTGTAGTTGAAATTAGATTGTGAAAGAAAGAACCATATGCATTACAGAAATAAGCAATTCTTAAATATTTCCCTGTACACCTGATTAACTGGCAAAGGAACCTTCAGTTTGTCTTTGGCTTTTACCTCTTTTTTTTTTTTTTCTATCTTGATACATTACAGATTGTAATTCTTACAAGTTGTTACTTAAGATGAGTGAAAAATCACTGCTTTTTAATAATAACACACTGTCTTTTGTAATAATCATTGTCTTTTATTTGCTTTTAAAAAATTATTCCAACAGGGGCAGCAAAATTGTATGCCTACTGGATTGTGGTGAATTTCCGTGAGGCATATAATCTCTTCGCAGTGAATGGCATTCTCTTCAATCATGAGAGTCCTAGAAGAGGTTAGTAAATATATTAATGGAAAAGAGAATTTCAGACTTTAACAAAACAAAGTTACATGTATATTCTGCATTTGTATTATACAGACTGTGGAAAATTCCACATTTTCACTATTAAGGGTGTCAGGAGTGGTAAATGAAGAAAATTCGTCCCTAATTACTTAATAAGTTTTGAAGTTTTTTTTTCCAACAAGAAAAACTGAACATTTTTCCAATTTTCTCATTTTCATTGGTAGGTCTTATCAATTATCAATCAAGCATTTATTCAGCCTAAATATTAGGAAGTTTTTGTATGAATGCAAAGGAATAAGTAATAAACTAATACCTGTTTCCAGAAGTAACTATTGTTTCATAGTCTTATCTAATCTATATATAGTTTTACTTTGAATCAGTTGGATATTCAATAGTTTTTCTTTATATTCCATTTAAACAGGCATCCAGAAATTACTGTGCTTCTAGATTATATTTTAAAATATATTGGAAACAATTTTTTTCAAAAAGAATACATTCTAAAATGATAAAAAGTATTTAGTAAATACATAAGCAAGTAGCACAGTAGTTTATTATCATTATCAAGTACTATGTACTGCATGTAATTGTATGTGTTATACTTTTGTATGACTGGCAGCACAGTAGGCTTGCCTACAGCATCCTCACCACAAACACGTGCTGTGCTATTCCAGTAGGTGATAGGAATCTTTCAGCTCTGGTCCTATGGGATCACTGTTGTATATGTGTTCCATCATTGACAGAATTGTCTAAAATATCTTGTGAAAAAGTAACTTTAATGATTTAATACCATGATAGTAAAGACATCTTGGAATAGTTCTAAGAACATCCATTAGCAGCTAAATTCTGTGAGAGAGGAAAGAGCTGTGGGGAATAGGAAAACCTGGAGGTTCAAATGGACACTGACATTAATTGTGTGATCGGAACAGGGTCCACAAACACACTGGATTCTCAACCTCCCTCACAATGGTATTATACCAAACTGTGATCATCATCTGTTACCACAGTTCCGATGAGAAGCATTGGAGTATTTTCATTAACTCATTATCAACCATCACAGCACAAAACTATTAGACAATTTCTATCACTACACCCCACAAGGATTTATATCCCAGGAAAACAGGAGAGGGCCACAGTCTACTCCTCCGGTCAGCCTAGATCTAGACTCCTGGCTTAATTATGGATGCCACATTTAGTAGGCTACTTGGAGAAACTGGAATATATTCAGAGGAAGCCAATCAGAAAGGTGACCTGACATGTGAAGAATGTTAGCCAGACCAGGAAGAGTTCAGCCTGGAGAGGAGAAGACTAAACGAGCATCCCCAGAGCAGACTGTTCTGGCAGCTGCTCCAGAAAGAGGCAGGAACAGGGTGGGAGCCAGATATCTGCACACCTCTGAGTTTCACACAGTAGAATGACTGTTTCCTGAGGGGACTAGAAGTTTCCAGAAGGATTGGGTATCACAACATTGAAAATACTGAAAAAGGAATCCATATCATAGAAGATTAGACCTCAAAGACCTTCCCATTTCACATAAAGAAACTTAGTCATTCTCTGCATTTCATAAGTACATACTCTGTGAAATAAAATAAGGGGCCCTACAAATATATAAGGAAGTAAAATGAACAGACTTGTAGAAATAATCTCACACAAATGGGAAGAGAAATCTGCTTTGGCTTGCTAAGCTGGAGTTCATGCACATGAACTCTAATTATGGCGGGTCGATGTGGACAATGACAAGTGGAATAAAACTTCAGGGGCCCAGTGACCCAGTGGGGAAGCAGAACGAACGAACAAAGATACAGGCAGGACAAAAGCAGTCCCACAGCTGTGAGTACATGGGAAAACAGGACTGAATTAATTTCTGTGATCTTTGGCCTTAGGTACCCCTTCTCTGGCTTCCAACATCTTATACTTAGAATCATTATCAGTATTTTTTTTTTTTCAAAAAACATATTTATTTGTATTGTCTTGTTGTCTTTTCACAGTTCTCCTTGAGACTGTTAGCAACATGCTACATCTCCTGTTCCAAATATTGGGTTTTAAATAAGAAATTGTTTATTCCTATATTTCATATTTATGGAAGCATGAGAAATCTCTACAAAACATGTACACTCTTTGCAATTTAAAAATTATCTGTGTAATCTAAGAATTTTGGTTAAATTTCACTATCACTTAGCCTTTTAGCTTGAGAATAAATGAGAAGTCCGGTGTTATGTTTCATGCCCAACAATTAGTAATGCTTGCAACTTTTTCAGTGAAATTTTATGTGATTATATAGCCATATAATTAAACATCATCATGAAAAAGGTGAAAGTGACAGGTTTGTAAAGGCATCTTTAGTGTCAGTACATTTTTATTTTATAATTATGTAAGTTAAAAATTCCCAGGATGGGCTATAACTCAGCCTGTCATCTCTGTTGCTAAAAAGGAAAACAATTAAGAAGCTGCCAGAGTACTTTTTAAAATTAATTTTGTTTAAGCAAACAAGTTGAATCCAAAGAGATCCACACCAAGACACATCATCATCAAAATGCCAAAGGTTATATACAAAGAGAGAATCTTAAAAGCAGCGAGAGAAAAGCAGTCGTTACCTACAAAGGAGCTCCCATAAGACTGTCAGTTGATTTCTCAAAAGAAACGTTGCAGGCCAGAAAGGAGTGGCAAGAGATATTCAAGGTGATGAAAAAAATGACCTAAAACCAAGATGACTCTATCCTGAAAAGCTATTATTTAGAATTGATGGCCATATCAAGAGTTTCCCAGACAAGAAAAAGCTAAAGGAATTCATCACCACCAAACCAGTATTATATGAAATGTTGAAGGGTCTTCTTGAAGGCGAAGAAGAACAAAAATATGAACAATAAAATGGCAATTAATACATAACTATCAACAACTGAATCCACAAAGAAAATGAGCAAGCAGAACAGAAACAGACTCATAGATACAGAGAACTTTTTGTTGCTTGCCAGATGGATGGGGGCTGGGAGGATGGGTGAAAAGATGAAGAAATTAAGAAGTACAGATTGGTTGTTAGACTGATGAACCTCAAAGGGAAAGGGGGGGGAGGGTTGGATGAGATAAACCAAAGAACTTCTATGCATATATGCACAACCAATGGACACTGACAATAGTGGGGGGAAGGCAGGAGGGGGCAGGAATGGGGAGGAGGATGTCAATGGGGAAAAAAGGAAGAAACATCTATAATACATTCAACAATAAAGATGAGGTTAAGAAAATAAATAAATAAATAAAATTAATTTTGTGGTTCTGGATATCCTTAGTAGAGGAAAAGGAAAAGGAAGAACTTAGTGATTCTTGGCTTACAGCATATGATATGGGAGTGGCTCAAGAAATCTTCAAGTGACGGTCCTTGCCTCTTCTGCTGCAAACATGTATATACACATTGTGTGGGTTTCTGTGCTCTTCTCCCTTTAATGTTTCTACCTGCAAAAACATAAATAAAAGTCAGTTGTTCTGGATCAGGTTAGGGTAGGGAAAGGCATGCTTAGTTGTGGAATGAAAAGATAAATTTAAATATACCCTCCAAAATTCTCTATTTGCATATCTGATGAGAACTATTAATCACTTTGTTTTTTAAAATTTATTTTAACATTAATACTTCTTTTTTATTTAAAAGAAAAGTAAACAGTAAAGGAGGGTATAAGGAGAAAAGTAAAAATTCTTTCTGTCCCATTGACTCTCAGCTCTGTCCTCAGGCCCCCTGTTAACATTCCTTCAGAAATGTTCCAGGTATCTGTACTGTAAACTTACAAAAAATCTTCTGCCTTTAGGGCTGTTGTTAAATGCTTGTTAAATACTTAACCTTGTAGCATATACCAATCTTTTGCTTTATTATCTATCCAGAAATCAATATTTTTATTTCATTTATTTAAATAAATAATGAAAAATTATAGAGGTATATATGGAATGATGTAATATTTATTTGATAATATATCTGATACTTGTAGCATTTCCTGAAACTTGACAATTAATTAAAAAAATTTTTTTTCCTTATTGATTTTAGAGAGAGAGGAAGGGGGAGGGAGAGAGAGAGAGAGAGAAACATCGATGAGAGAGAACATCAATCAGCCTCCTCCTGCATGCCCCCCACTGGGGATTAGGCCCACAACCTGGGCATGTGCCCTGACCAGGAATCGAACCGGCGACCTCCTGGTGCATGTGTCGACGCCCAATCACTGAGCCACACCGGATGGGCAGACACTTAATTTTTATATTAAATTAATTTGACAATAATATTGTTGTTTCGTCACAATTAATTGTTATTTTCTGAGGATATTCTTTGCCAGACTGAGCATTCCCTAATGGTAGGACTATACTGATTTCTTAAATCTTCTGTATCTAATATAGTTTCTATCTGCTAATAAGCATTCAATAAATATTTATACATGAATGAATATCTAATGATTCAGTAAAACTTTACTGACTCGAAATCTAGGCGGTCTGAATTAGAGAACAGTAGGAATTTTTATGATAGTTTTAAATAAATGTTGATTTCATGCATATAATAACTGAAGGTAAACTATTTTTAAGTAAAGATTCAGTCTATTGTACTTTAATAAGTAGGTAAATTTGTACTGATAGTTGCTGTAGTACTTTGAATTTATTTTCTTAAGTAGGTTGAGCATCAGTCCCCTTCTGCTCTGCTATCCCAGGAAGTAGACACCCTTTTTATAGATGATGCAGTGGTAAACCTCAATCTAGTCTGAAGTATATAATCTCAAATGCCCAAATTAGTAGAGCCCAAATTAATGCAACTTTTTTGGGTCGTATGCTTTCTCTAATGAAAAATAATTGACAAGACCCTTTTTGACTGCATGAATAACATTCCATGAGAATTTCTGACTTCAAAAAGTATTTTTAATATAAAGATATTCTAAACCAGAAGTTGCCAAACTATGTCTCATGGGCCAAATCCAGCCCACTAGCCTATTTTTGTAAATAAAGTTTTATTGGATCACAGCCATCCCCAG